TTACCACTGCTGTTCAAGATTTTACTGGAAGTTATAGCCAGAGCAGTTGGTCAAGAAAAAAATAAAGGCATCTGAACTGGATAAGGAGAAGCAAAACTAACTCTGTTCACAGATGACATAATCTTGTATACAGAAAACTCAAAGAATCTATAAAAAAATTTTCTTGGAGCTACTAAATGAATTCAGCAGAATTGCAGGATACAAGATTAACACACAAAAATCAATTGTGTTTCTATGCATCAGCAATGAAAATACAAAAAGGAAATTAAGAAAACAATTCAATTTACAACAGCATCTGAAAGAATAAAATATTTAGGAATAAATGTAACCAAGTAGGTGAAAAGACCGGTACGCTGACAATTACAAAACATTGCTGAATGAAATTAAAGAGCTGTGGGAATAAACACCTGGACCTCACTCTCCTCCATCATGCCAATCTCTTGCCAGTGTCTGTATTTGCAGAACAACTGGCAGCCAATGAGCAAAAGAACACTCTGATGCAGTTCACACAGATCAGTCCCTCAGGGTACCAAGTGGGATGGGGAAAGATGGAGAGTGAATCTGGAGAGCTAATGGAAGATATCCAGCATATCTCATTCCAGTGTGTGATGTCTTTGTGGCTGGATTTCTGTTGCATGTTGTTTCTATCAGCTTTTACTCATGGTGGCTTCTTCCCTTGTGTGTTTTGTTTTGTTTTTACTGTGAGCTTATAGTCCTCAGAATTTTATCTGTGGGAACTTTTTGAGGTCTGGATTGAAGTTGCATTTCTCCACAGAAGTTTGTGAGTGCTCCTTTGGAGAGCCTTGTGGTTCCACCAATCAGGTCTGTTTTACACTAAATTTTTGACTTAAGGTGTTTCAGACCATCCAGTTTGCATGAATTCAGGCTTCGGACCTCCATGAGGGCTATGCTTGTGGATCTATATTCTCAAAAGAGCCTTTCTCCACTCCATGCTGGCAATTTTACTTGCAGTGCCCAGGAAAGGTGGGCTTATTTCCGGTTCACTCTTACATTGAGAATATAGCCCTTTGGGGTCTGTAGGAGACATATCTGGTAAGCCTTGTTATATCCCTTCTGTCCACCTCTGGTCTTACCCTCAGCTGTGGTGGAAAGTTCTGTGTGAACACTGTATCAGTTTTGATTTCAGCCACAGTTCTGGCAGATAGTTCCTAGCAAGCTCACACTCAACTTGTACTGACTGCATCCCACTTCAAGTGCACACATCTATCTTTCTGCTTTTGCTCCACGACCTTTGTCAAATCCAATGAATCTGTCTGGCTTGCATGCCAGGGCAGTCCACAAATGAGGAGGAAATTGACACTATTGAAGACAATCCTCAACCAACAGGAGGGGAAGCTGGTGGATAAGTGTTCCAGCCTCTTGCCCTATAAGCGAACAATTCTGGCCGGTATTCTGTTTCTCAAGATGCCCCTGCAGAATTCATATGAGAACTTCACATATTCATCCGTCTGTGGCTCCCCACTTTCCCTTCCTAATCCTCCCCAATCTCTCACTCCTTATTTCTGCAATTGACTCCCAAGTAAACTACTGCATCCGTGTTCTTGTTTTAGGTTTTGCTTTTTAGGGAACCTAAATGAAGTCGGAATCCCACCTTTATGCTTTTGTCAAAACAAGATTTGTTCGTTTTCGTATCATTTCTTCTTTTTCCCTGCTACAAGCTTATAAAGTATCTGGGATGGAGTGAAGATGAGAGTTCTGGTATTTTCCAAATTTCACATTCATCCTGTAGCATCCTTAATAGATAAAATTTATTCATTGTGCTGTATCATCTAACTGTAAAGAAAGCTCCAGTCGAATTTTCGCAGCCATCATATCTTTATAGAAATTTATAACTGGAAAGTTCATATACATTGTTCTATCTTCCTCTCAAAAAAGTAGATGAGACAAAACAGTAAGTCAAGAGGACAGGTAAGGTGGAAAAGTGCTGGAATTTACAATCGCAGACATCTGATTCCAAGTCACTCTGAAGTCAGTCATAAGGGGGCAGGGCCTCGTGATGTCACCAGAGGGCAGCAGAGGCCAGGGAACAGGTGGAGAAGTGAGGCCCAAATGACGGAACCTGCCAGAGATCCGATAGAGACAGGAATAATATTTATTGGGGCCTGTTACAAGTTGGGCATTGTGCCGGGCACGATAAGAAATCGTACAAGTCTCAAAGGCAGAGATGGGAGGCCAGAGCCAATGGAGGAGTGGAACGGAGCCTAGTTAAGAGGGCAGTTCTTCAGGTCAGCCAGGAAATGCCCAAAGACAGCTAGTCTGGAAGGACAAGCACAATGCCAGAAATAAATATAAGGGCTATGGGTCTGCTAAGGGCAGCTGAGATGTTGCTAGAGAATCAGGTGAGGTCAATTACTAGGATCATTGAGAGTCAGTCAACCTGCATATTTACTTTACACTGATCAGAATTTTTTTTTTTTTTTAAGATTTTATTTATTTTATTTTTCCCCCCAAAGCCCCAGTAGATAGTTGTATGTCATAGCTGCACATCCTTCTAGTTGCTGTATGTGGGACTTGGCCTCAGGATGGACGGAGAAGTGGTGCCTCTATGCGCACCCGGGATCCGAACCCGGGCCACCAGCATTGCAGCGTGCGCACTTAACCACCAAGCCACAGGGCCGGCCCTACACTGATCAGAATTTAAATGGCCCTTCGCCTGAGCAAACATTAAATTTTCTTGATGATTTTTGTGTCTTCTTCCACTACAGAAAAAAACATAATCACGTGCCATAAGTTCCAGGCTTTCCCCTCGTGGTAGGTGTGGTGGCATTTTGATAATGTTCCATGCTTGCTTTAGCATCTAATCTTTGACTCTTACTTACCTCTCTTGCACTTGATTGTAAAATTCTCTGACTCAACCAGATGGTCACTGAGTAGGGACTGCACCATGAGTTTGAGGTTAAGGGCCTCCTGGCACCTCCTATATTCTTCTCTTCTGTACAGTGGGGCTCACTCGCTCTCTTCCAAAGGCCTTGTGGAAATTCTTGACCCCTTGGAAAGTTATAGTGGACACAGCTGGAAGCTCTGGGGGAAACTGTCCAAAGTTCACTGAGTGGACCTTTTCATCAATAGGTTGACATGGTTTTTGTGGTTTTATTTTTTTCCCCTAAATCTTCTCATTACCATGCTACAAACTTACATTTTGGTGTTTCTTACTAGTTGTGTTTCAATCTTTTTAAAGTTTTTGTTTGTTTGTTTGTTTGTTTGTGAGGAAGATCAGCTCTGAGCTAACATCCATGCTAGATCAGCACTGAGCTAACATCCATGCCAATCCTCCTCTTTTTGCTGAGGAAGACCGGCCCTGGGCTAACATCCGTGCCCATCTTCCTCCACTTTATGTGGGACGCCCCCACAGCATGGCCTGACAAGCGGTGCGTCCGTGGGCGCCCAGGATCCGAACCTGGCCGCCAGCAGTGGAGCCCGCGCACTTAACCGCTAAGCCATGGGGCAGCCCAAAGTCTTTTTTTAAATTAATTTTTTGCTCCAACTTGCTCATCTCAAACTTTTCTCTGGTGGACTTGCATATGTACAACATATGTAGTTGATCTCTTCCTTTGCTCCTCTTTTTTGTTTCCTCCTTCTCCTGGGGTGTGATGCTCTGTGGTCAGATTTCCAGTACTGTCTAGGAAATGGAGGTTGTGATTTCTGCTGCTTTGATGGGCCCAATTCCAGGGACAGGTTCCAGGAGCTTGGGGGATGGGTGGCTCAGACAAGTCGCATGTATCTTTAGGCTGAGAGCTGCAGGAATAAGGCCACCGGATGGCTGCTGGAGCAGGGAGAGGCAGCAGCGGTGGGGGCTCCCTCATGATGCCAGAGTCTCACCAACATTTGCTCGCTTCTGCCTCCGAGTCTGCGTCTGCTTCCGCTTCCGCTTCTGCATCCTTGGGCAGCCTAATCCAGAGCTCACCTCTGCCGGGCCTACTGAATTAGACTCTGAGTGTTGAGGACTTGGATCTGTAGTTTGACAGGTTACCCAGGTGATTCTGATGTGGTGACTGAGAAGACATCCTGAGAAACTGTCTCACCTGGACTAAGCTGGCCTGAAGTTCTAGTTCCCACTCTGGGCATTTACTGCTCGAGTCTTCCCCGCTTGTTTTAGGAAAGTCACTTGGAATCTCAGTTGGGGTCTGATAAATTCCAGAAGAAACATCTTCCCAGTGGTGTACAAAGGCGGTTGGTGGGAGTGACATCCCCCCCACCAGGTGCTGGCAGTGAGGGGAGGTGCTGTCTGCAGAGGATTTTAAAACAGTAATAAAACCAAGTAAGAGGATAAGAGTTGGTCAGCTTTTTATCATCACCATGCCACAGCAAGTCTACACAACCTGGTCAGTGATAGAATAAACACTCCTCCCTGCTGGTCCGACCACCGCCCCCCCCACTGCCCCTCCCCAGTCATGGTGAAGTCTGGTGAATCGCCATCAACAAGTAGCCAATTAATGTTTGATGGTTTCTTTTTCACTGTTTTTATTTTTCAAAATATACAATTTATTTACACTTTTATTTCACAACTGTAGTTTTTATATTTATTCCAAAATCTTTAAATAACTCCACAGTAAACAGTACAAATCATAGGATCGGTCAAACTGCTTCTCTTTAGCCTTTACGCACATCGAGTTTTTTAAAACTTTCAAGTAGTAACAGTTTGTGGGTAAGAAGGGAACAAAAACAAGATAAAATTTTTTTACGGAAGCTCCACATGTAGAATTAGAAAGGACAATCAGAGCAGCCACTTGGTCTGGGGTCAGACTAAGGGCATTTATACAGTTCATAAATAAGACCCTCTTATGAGCAGTGAGAGTTTTGGTTACGAGGAAGAAGGGGCTGGAACCTCATCTGCTTGGGGTGGGGGAAGCAAAGGGGAAGAAAGATAAGGCACTGCATGAAAACTCCTTCTTGGCTTAAGGTGGCACTGGCTGGAAGGGTCCTCAGTGGGGGCACAGGGACCCACCTATACCAGCTGGAGGTCAGAATGGCTGGGGATGGGGTGGGGCTCCCACCCATGGAGAGGCCTCTTTAGCCTCCCTTGGAGAAAGACTTTGTGATTCTAGAGGCAGGCAAGACATGGCTAGAGCAGCTGGTGGTTCCTAAAGAAAGGGGCCTGGGCTCCTGCCAGTGTTGAGGTGACGCCAGCTACCTTGGGCCCACTGGCACAGGCAGGTGAGGGCCGGGCGTGTGGGTCCAGGATGTGTCATAGCCTGAGGCACCTGGTGGTACAGCTGCCATTCGTGATTGGCAGGGGACAAAGGCTCTGCCCTGGGATCTCGGGGTGGCCTGTGGGAGGTATCATGCTGTCTCTTCTTGTGAGAGCCCTTCATCCACCTCAGTGTTTTCCATTCATTAGGAGAACAGCCAGAGCCACCAAATCCTCCCCAGGAAGGTGGGGAAGATGAGGGCCACCGGCCTCGCAGACCCCACTCTTTGCTGTGAACATTGGCAGCTCCACTGTGGGGGCTAGCTCGAGAGCCCGAGGTGCTAAGACACAGGTGGGACACAGGCCTGGCTCTAGGGGTCAGTTTCCTTCATTCCCCTGGGAAATTCCCCATTAGCCGGGTCCTAAAGCAGTCCTGTGGGCTAAGGCTCTGGGCAGGGATGCTGGTGGAGAAGCCGGGATGCTCCAGGAAAGAGCTAGTCCCTGAGGGCCATTTGGTCACCAAGTGGACGTGACCTTCCTGACCTTCCTGACCCTCCTGGGTCAGGAGGGCAGTCGCAGGGTCAGTCTCAATCTTCAGGGTCTTCTCAGCACCCCCCAGCAAGCCCGAAGGACGGACAAAGCCCGTCCTGCCTGGCCAAGCAAATCTTCTTTGCAGGGTCTGGATGGGGCTGGGGGTGGGGCAGGGGCTACAGCAGGGCTGGGAGTTGTCACTGCATCTTCGGGTGGGGTTCTTCCGGCATAAGGGTGTGGAAAAAGTAATCCCAAAGTTTAGTGCTGATGCCAAATCCTAGAGAGAGAGACAAATGGGGAGAAGATGAGGCACTGTTGAAGGAGTGGGGGAAATTTGCTTGGGAAGGGAGTCTGGGTGGAGAAGCCTAGCATGTGGGGAAGATTTCAACATCTGTCCCCACTGGCCTTCCCAACTCTCAGGGCCATCCCGGTAGAAGTCAAGAGCAGGGCACCTGTGTTTCTAGTCTTCCAAGAATGCCATTGGAATAAACCCAAATTCCTTATTGGGCCTGAGTTCCTGGGAGATCCTGGCCCCTGCCTGCCTCTTCCTCCCTCTCTCTCACACTTCAGACTCTTCCTCCTCTTCGAGGACATCAAGTTCATTCCTGCTTCAAGGCTTTGACCTGTTGCTCCTGGGATGCTCCTTCCCCAGACACTGGATGCTGGCTTCTTTTAATTTAGGTCTCAGCTCTAATGACAGGTCTGCAGCACACCTTCCTGGACCACTTTTTTTCCTAGCACTCTGCCGTTCAACACAGTAGCCACTAGCCCATGTGACCACTGAGCACTGAGAATGTGGCTAGAGCTACAGAGGGGCTAAATCCCTAATTCACTTAATTTTAATTAACTTAAATTTCAATTAAAAAATGTATACTCCATTCAGTTACTAGAAAACTTTTAAGCACATTTGGAGCAACTCACGTATGTGAATCTACTTTTTTGATTGTAAATGTTATAAACTCTAAATACAGATCAAGTATTTTCCAATGAAAATTTAGCACTTGAATACAGATGTGCTCTAAGTCCAAAATATGTACTGGATGTTGAAGACTTAGTATAAGATAAAGAATGGAAAATACCTCACTGGCGATTTTTTACATTGATTACATGTTGAACTGATAATATTTTGGTTATATTTGGCCTAATAAACTACATTATTAAAATTAATTTCATCTGTTTATTTTTACTTGTTAATGTGGCTACTAGAAAATTTAAAATCACATCTGTGACTCACATTATATTTAATTAGACAGTGCTGTACCCCTCCCCCCACTTAGATGCTTCCTCTAACATCATCTTGCTTTATTTTCTTTGTGGCACATATCACTGTCTGCTGTTATCTTTGCTATTTATGGATTTCCTTATTTGTCTGTGTCTGCACAGCCCCCTGCACCAGTGAGTAGGATGGAAGGCCCAGGCTTGCCTTGCTGTCTGTGTATCCCCAGTACTCAGAACAGTGCCTGGCCCTTGGTAGGGGCTCAGTTGTAGCTGTCAAATAAGTAAACGAACAAATAAGAGTGGCTGGGAGCTGCCAGCCGGTCCTCACCTGACTTCTGATGTGCAAAGTGATGCTTGACGTGATGGGCCTTCATGTTGTACAGGTAGGAGCCCTTGCGCGGCGAGCCGAAGTGCAAGTAGTAATGGGTCATGTCGTAGAGGACATAGCCCAGGAGGCCCCCAGCAAACACAGTGCCCCCCACCGCCTCGGGCAGGAGGAGCTGTAAGACCACGTAGAAGGTGGCAATCACCAGAGAAGCTGGTACAGGGGGGAAGACCAGGCGGGACTCATCGAAGGGTGCCTGTGGATGGAGAGGCTCATGAGTCAGAACACAGCCCAGGTCCCCAGGGCCCGTCTGTAGTCACAGCGTGCCAAGCCAGAGACGCTCCCCATGGAGGGTGGGGCAGAGCAGCCCAGACATGCCAGTGAGGGGGCAGTGACTTGTCATGGGTAAGCTTGGCACTTTCAGTGGCTTTGGGGAGGGCAAACCGCCATGCTTGCAAGGCTTAGAGAGACTGTCCCGCTCCCAATTTCCAAGCCAGGATGGGACCTTGAAAACTGTCCAAGAACACGAGGGTGGATGTGATATGGGCAGGATGCTCCTGGTTCAGAGTCCTGCTGTAGATACAAGAGGCCACTTTGGCTCTGGATCTTGTTAGGTGCTAGAGGGGAGCCCCATCACTAAATACCATGCGGGTACCTAGACCAAGGCCTGGTATTGTCTGGGAGGGCAACACAGCAGCAAGCTGAGCGTAATGCAGATTCACATGGTGGGATGATACTGGGAGTGTTAACAGATACGTTCTCCCCACCCCCACGTCCTAACAGGAGCCATTCTTTGTTCCAAGGGGATGTTGTCACAGTGAACCAGAGAACAAAAGAGCCAAGACTGGCTCCGGAGCTTTAAAAGCCAAGGACCTGGGGCCAGCCCCGGTGGCCCAGTGGTTAAGTTCGGCACACTCCGGTCCCAGGTTCAGTTCTCAGGTGTGGAACTACACCACTCGTCTATCAGTGGCCATGCTGTGATGGCGGCTCACGTACAAAATAGAAGATTGGCAACAGATGTTAGCTCAGGGCGAATCTTTCTCAGCAAAAAAAAAAAAAGCCAAGGACCTGGTATAGAGGTAAGATTTTAGACACTGCTTGGTGAGTATTCTGAGAAGAGAGAGACCCTCTTTGGGCTGGAAGAGAAGAGAGAGAGAAAGCAGGTGACAGTCATAGAGCGATATGCTGATGTGGGCCTCCCTCCTCTCAGACCAGGAGCAACTGGACTAGTGGTGTGACAGGAAACTGGATCTTGGAAAAAGAAGGTAGGGAGGGAGGGAGAGGGGAGGGATGCCCTGGGACAGGCTGAGAACAGCATGGTGCAGGGACAGAGAAGCAGCCAGGGGGATGCAGCTTCCTCTGGGCAGACCTGGCTTCCAGTCACAGCCACCAGAACTGTCATGTTGCCCTTGAAGAGCCCTAGGGTGGTGGGTGGTTGAGAGCACAGACTCTGGAGTCCACAGAACAGGGCACAACATCCTGGCTGTGCCAGGTGTGACCTTGGGCCAGTTCCTTAATTCCCCCAAGCCTCAGTTTGCTGCTCTGTGGAATGGGGAGAACTGCAGCAGCATCTTCAGAAGGAAGCTCCACAAGGCAGTGATTTTTGACTGTTTTGTTCAGTGGTGTCTAGAACTATGCCTGGCACATAGCACTCAGTGAACATTCGTTGAATGAAGGAAGGAAGGAAGGAATGAACGAGTTGTTGTGAGGATTAATGATACATGAAACGTACCTTCAGAGTGCCTGGTATTAACATGATGGCATGCAGACACACAAGCTCACTCTGTCCGCACCCGGTTCAAACTAGGACCCAGTGACCCCTCTGAGCAACATCAAATACCCTTGATTTCCCCTCACTCCCAACCTGACTCCCACAAAGATGCGCAGCTCCTACGAGTCTGTTACAGCTGCAAGGCCCCAGGTGGGAGCCGCCCCGCTCACCTTGTGGTGCTGGCCGTGCAAGACGAAGTGCAGCGTGATGAGGTAATAGCTGTTGCTGGGGGGCTTCATGTGGAACAGGAAGCGGTGGAGGAGGTACTCCACCAGGCTCCAGAGGAATATCCCCAGCACGAAGAGGCCCGGGAACACGGACTCAGGCATGGCCACTGAGTGCTCTGCAGGGGGCAGGAGAGAGGTGAGGTCAGGGTGGACGGCCGGCTGTGCGGCTACGCCTGGGGGCTCCAGACATCTCACCGCCCCGGTCACCTTGGGAGCTGCTGCCCTCTGTCCAGCAGCTATGGGGCCAGGCCTCACTGTTCTGGCCCTGAGTCAAAATGGGAAGGAGGCTGTGAGGGTCTGTGCTGGGCTTGGAGGGGTCCTCCAGAGAATGGGGCCACTGGCCAGAGATCTGAGACCTTCCTGAGAGGGACCATAAGAGGAGCGCTGTGGCTGGTGCTGGACCGTTGTCCAATGCTATGGTCTGAATGTGTCCCCCCAAATCCATATGTTGAAACGTAACCTCCAAGGTGATGGGAGTGATTGGGTCCTGAGGTGAATAGGGTCAGTGCCCTTTTTATAGAAGAGGCCTGAGAGAGCTCCCTTCCCCTTTCTGCCACGTGAGGACACAACAAGGAGTCTGCGACCAGGAAGAGGGCCCTCACCCGACCATGCTGGTGCCCTGATCTCGGACTTCTGGCCTCCAGAACTGTGAGAAATCAATTTCTGCGGTTTATAAGCACCCAGTCTGTGGTGTTTTCTTATAGCAGCCTGAATGGACTAAGACACTGGGGAAGGGTGACCTTGCCTCAGTGGCATGGGAGAGAGGGAGAGGTGACCCCGATTACGCCAGTAAAGCCAGGGGGTTATTGATGGAAGACGTTAACAGCCAGGAACTGGGGGCAGGAGGAACAGGAAACCCCTACTTGAGAAATCTCAATGGACAAGACTTGAAATCATAGCCTATGAGGAAGATGTGAAAAAACGGAAGTTGAGTAGCCCGGAGAGCAGAAGACTGGAGGAACGTAATTACAACAGGTGCGAGGTTCGCAACACCCAACCCTCTGGTGACAGCCTGCAGTCCTTGGGGATCCGAGTTCTGTTCTCCACTTCATTCATCTTTGACTTCATGGGACTTCAGCTCTTGTCACTGTTTACTCCATGGCCATCCTCACCCTCTTAGCTTGACTTCTTTTCTCCACAAGCCATTGCTTCAGCCATACTTTTTCTTTTTAAAAATAACGGCTTCATTGAAATATAACACATATCATACAATTCACCCATTTCAAGTGTACAATTCAATGGTTTTTAGTACAGAGTTATGCAACCATCACCACACTCTTAGAATATTTTATCTCTCTGTACCCATGAGCCATCACTCCCCATTTTCTCTGACCCCTGCCATTTCCCAGACCCAGGAAACCACTAATCTACTTTCTGTCTATTGCATTTGCTTATTCTGGATATTTCATATCAATGGAATCATGCAATATGTGGTCTTTTATGACTGGCTTCTTTTAATTACAATATTTTAAAGGTTCATCCATGTTGTAGCATGTATCTGAACTTCATTCCTTTTTAGGGATGAATAATATTCCACTGCATGGATATTACACATTATATTTATCCCTTCATCAGTTGATGGACATCTGGGTTGTTTCTACTTTTTGACTATTACGAATAATGCTGCTATGAACATTCACATGCAAGTTTTTGTGTGGACATATGTTTTCAGTTGTCGAGTATATGTCTAGGAGTGGAATTGTTGGGTCATATTATAACTATGTTTAACCTTTTGAGGAACCACCATACTGTTTTCCAAAGCTAGCCATTCTCTTTTGACCTTTACTCCATCTCCCTCACCTGCCCCCATGAACCCCCAAACCTTGATCAGTACAAGATGTACAAACTGCTGAGCATGGAAGGAGAGTCGTGTAGGCATGGCTCTGGCACCTTCAGCCTCAGCTAGACCTCAAACACTGCCTGGTGATCATTTTCTCTCTCCAGATCCAGCTCCCTCCCCACTGCCCTCAAATATCACCCTCTCCTTCCACCCAGCCTCCTATTTCACAGAGAAAAGAGGCCTTGGGAGGAAGAGAGGGAGAGGGAGAATGACCCCCTTCACAACCTCCCTTTCACCTTCAACCACATCAAATTCTGCCCCCACCCTGGAACTTCCTTCTTGCTCCTCAGGGAAGAGGTGTGCACCCAGGCACCTGGGCACTGGAAGGTGGTGGTAGTAACAATAATAATCATTGCAGATGTGTATTGATCAGTACCTACATGCCAGGCACTGTTCAAGTGCTTTACATGGATTCCTCCATATTTTGTCTCACTCTAACCTTATGAGAGAAGCACGAGCATTGCCCATATGAGTGAGGATGTGAAGGTACAGACAACTTACCTTACTTGCCTGGCTCACCCTGCTAGGCAGTGCACAGCCCTCAGCCTGCCTCCCCGAAAGCCCCTCCGTCCCAACCAACCCCTCTGGGCATCTTCAACTTCTTATCCACTGGCTCTTCCGCTCATCTTTAAAATGTTCCTATCATAGACTCTGTCCCTTCACAGCCAAGCCTACTAAAAAGGTAGGCTAGTCTTAAATCTCTACTTCACTGCTTCCCATTCACTCCTGAAGCCCCTAAAGCTTGTCTTCTGCAAAGAAGAACTGTGAAAGCCATTCATGATGCATTTCTTGCAAACCTTCAGATCTAAGTAACTTTTTCAATTCATCTCTAAATTGGCTGTGGCATATGACATTGGTGACCACACTCCTCTTGAATCTGCAACTGCATAGGTTCCTAACGTGAGGTTTATGAACACCAGAGGGTGCTCAGTTGGATTTCAGGGTGTCTGTGAACCTGCTAAAATGATATCCCAAACTACATCTGTGTGTATTTTTATGGGAAGCTAGTCCACAACTTTTCAGATTCTCAAAGGATCAGAGACCAATAAGGTAAGAATACACATCTCCACTCCCTGCCTGCTGGGACACTTGGCTTTTCTCCTCTTCTCTAGATGCCCTGTGTCAGGCTCCACTGTGGAAACTCTGCCTCTCTCCCAGGGTCAAAGACTTGACCCTCCACTCTCACATGCTCTCTGCTCCGTCCAGGATGTCAGCCACACCCACGTGCTGATGAACCCCAGATCTACACCTCCAACCCAGCCCTCGACAGCCACTTGCTACTAGGCATCTCCACGTAGCTGTCCACAGGCCTCCCAAAGTCAACAGATTCCAAATGAGGCCAATCCTCTTCCTCTTTCTTCCTACCCACTCCATTACCCCAGGCTGTTCCTCTTGAGTTCCTTCCTCAATGAGGAGTATCGACATCCACACATTACACAAGACTTAACTTATCCCCCTCTCCCGCGTCCAACCGGTCACCAAGCTCTGTCAGCTCCCCTCCTTAATATCTGTTGGCAAAGTAAAAGGCACCAGACACAAAAGACCACATATTGTATGATTCCGTTTATATGGAATGTCCAGAATAGGCAAATGTATAGAGACAGAAAGTAGATTGGTGGTTGCCAGCGACTGAGGAAGGAGGAAATGGAGAGTGACTGCTCAATGGGTATGTGGTTTCCCTTTGGGGTGATGAAAACGTTTTGGAACTAGACAGAGGTGGTGATTACACAACATCGTGAATGCACTAAATGCCACTGTATGTTCACTTTAAAATGGTTAATTTTATGTTATATGTATCTCACCTCAATTAAAAAAAGTCTATCTATCTGTCTATCTATCTATCTATCTATCTATCTATCTATCTATCTATCTATCTATCCCTCTATCTATCTATCTATCTATCTATCTATCTATCTATCTATCTATCTATCCCTCTATGTATCTATCTATCTGGTCAGTTCACTGCTCTTAATCCCCCACTGCCTTATCATCTCTGGCCCAATGACTGCTTCAGCCTCCCACCCCAACTCCCTGCCTCCACACGCTATTTAAACTCTTCTATGATGCCTCATTACCCTCAGGCAAAGTCCAAACCCCTAGCACAGCACTCAAGGTCCCTCGAGACCCAGCCCTGCCAGCCACATCCCTGCCTCATCTCCCTGTCACCCTGTACTGGGGCCAAACTGAACCACTTGTGGCTCGTTAGATGCACCATGTTCCTCACCCCTCCCCTGTATATTCCTAATCTTGCTTATGCTTTTCTTCATTGGAATTCCCTCCCTGCCCTCCTTATTATTGGAGATTCAGCCCATGTGTCTCCTCCCATGAGAAGCCTCTGCAGATGCCCTTAGGCCCTACCTGGGCTGGGTTGGAGGCTCCCGCCCCGCCCTCCACATCACCTTTGTCACATTGAACTGTGGCTGCTGTTTTACTCATTCATCCCCACTAGGTTATGAGCATTTTATGGGCAGAATTCATTTTATATCTCCAGTGCTTAACACAGCAGGTGCTCAGACACGTGTTGGGAGATTAATGGGCGAACATGAGCTTCTCTGAAGGGCTGTACAAGGATGACGTTTGACTGGTGCTATTCTGGGCAGAACCAGACCCAGAGGGAGGCAGCTTCTGGGTCTGTTTAAGGAAGCACTTCTGAAGGGGTGTGCCCAATGTGGAAGACCACAGGTGGCTGCTGAGGAAGGAAGAAAGCTCAGGCAGGCGGGGAGGTGACCTTGCAGCTATTCGGACCAGATTCCAAGCCCAGTGCCATTCTGACAAATCGTTCCCAATGAGTCTCCACGCAATGGAAAGATTTTTCACGCCTCACCTAGAAACTAACATGTGATGAGGCTAAGATTCAATCCCTAAAATGCCCATTTCTCTCAAATCAGCTGTTAAGTTGGTCTGACATCTCTCATCAGTGGGGCCTGCTGTGTCCACATTTGGTGCAGATGCTTGCCTAACAGCATTGTCTGCGAGTGGCCATTCGGCCTTGGCTGGGCTGCTCTGGTTGGCCAGAGGCCCTGCTTCCAGGGAAGATTTGACACATCTGGGGTCCTTTAAAACACTCTAGCGAAGTGCAGAGAGCATGGGCTTTGGATTTACAGACTGGGGTTCAAATCCTGGCTCTGCAGCATCTACGTGTTTTCTCAACAGTCAAGTATCCTACCCATCCTGAAGGGCTGTTGTTAGGATGGAGGGAATATAACATTTGATCATATAAGTATATATATTATATGATAAGAATAATATATTATCATATATTAATACCTATCATAATAACATAATAATCCTCATGTATAACAAGTAGCTACTATAATTTTTAAATATAATGAATCAAATATATCTATGTTCCTACCTGCGGTCCTCCTTTTGCCCACCTTCTCTCATTTCTCCTTGTGGAGCTCTGGAGGGTCCCTGTCTTGGGGAGAAGGAGTTTCCCAGCCCCCTGCCTCCCCACTGCCCAGAGGGAAGGAGCCTTTCCTTGCTGCTTAGCTCTCTTGGCAGCAGGGAAAGGACTGGACACCCAGCAGCATTCCCTGGCCACAGACTTTGGGCTTGACCTTTTCTGGGGCTCCCACAGCACAATCCCGGTGGAGGCCTGCATCCTCACCTAGGATGCTGCTTGGCAATAGTTCCAGCTCAGGAGTCACTCTAACTGGCTCCCAGGAACTGCTCTGGGGCCATCCTGAATGTGCAGAACCCCTCTGCTTTTCCAAGCATTTTCACACATGCGTCTAGGAGTTTCAGCCTTGAACTAGCGTCTCCATTCAGCTTCCATTGCTTCTTGGCACTCCGACTCTTCTGCATTTACTCCAGTGTGTCCTTTGTCCAGCAGCTGCACTGGGACCCTGCTGAGTCCCCTCATCTTGCTTTGTGGCTCTTATTTTCTCTGCCTGTTGCCAGTGCTTTGCCTGACGTGCTGGGGGTGAGGGAGGCCTGTGCATATCTCTCATGCCACCATCGCTGGCATCATGTCACAGGCCCATTAACCCTCTACACTCGACCTTTATTGGACAGCACATGTCAGCTCTCTGCAGAGGCCTGCGGTTCTGACCAAGCCCTCAAATCACCCTCCCTGCCGCGCAGAAGAGTCCCCTCCTATAGGTCAAGTCTCTGCCCACCCCCTCACCCCAGCATCACCCCTGTCGGCCCATAAGGCTGGAGCTGGTACCGAGTGGCATCTCTGGAGGAGATGCAGAGGGACCTGGGCCAAAGCTCCCGCACCCCCTTCCCCCTCCAGCCGCCGGCCTGGCCGCCCTGCCTCTGTTGGTAATTGTTAGGGGAGCACCGGGCAGACAGTGGGCGATTCAGTGAGCAGGCCTTCTGAGCAACAAGCCCTGTGCTGTGCCTGAGCTATTCAGTGTGGGCAGAAAAGGGTAACCTTGGCTCGCAGGGTGCACACATTAACCCTTGGTGACCGGGAGCAACTCTGTGCTCTGGGGGACTTCCTGCAGTTTGCTCATCCCTGCCCCATCCTGGGCCAGGTGGGAAAATTCGGGCTTCCATCGCTGTGGCCGTGGCCCCTCTCATCTAAACCATTCAGCCCTCGACTTGCCGCTCCCGGAAGAGGCAGGTAGGAGAAAGCCTCAGAGCATGAGGAGAAGGAACCTGCGCCTGGCAGAGAGAGGGGGGTTCAGAAGGCTCCAGCCAGGAACATGGTGTGTGATCAGGAGAGGAGAGCCCACCTGAGCTACTCTCAGCAGCCCTCTCCTGCCTATCCCCTCACCTGGCCTCTATATGAGCCACCTGCCATGGGCCAGCACCTCCTCGAGGCCAGCTCTGCCAGGACGGACAGACTACCCGGGCAGGCGGCATGAACCTGGAGGCCCGACGTAGGCGCTGAGCTTGGGAGGCAGACTGGCAGAGGAGGCCACACCCAAGCCCATGGCTGCCCTGAGAGACTCAGTCCCACAGGCTCTTTGGAAGTCACCCCATGTCAGCCCCTGTCTCTGTCCCCTGAAGCTGAGGGGCACCTGGCATCCACATCGTAGCCACATGACCCTGAGTCGCTTGCTTGACTTCTCTGAGGCTCCGTTTCCTCATCTCTAAAAGGGCATGATGACAGCCCCCATCTCGTGGGGCTGTTGGGAGGCTTTAAAGAGATGGTCCCTGGAAAGCACAAGGCATGTGGTAAGTGCTCAGTAGAGGTCAATGGGGTGGCTACTCCGAGTCAGGGCTTCTGCCCCATGGGCCTTTGCCTAGGAAACACTGTAGGACACTCCCGGATGTTCCTCTCCAGGTTCTAGTCTGTGCTATGTTCTTGGACCATTCTGGGTCCAGCTCTCAGCTATACCACCTGCTGAAAGGATTTCATTTAGTTTCTTGACAAACAATCCCAGGTCATACATTTTCTAGTATTAGACTCAGAGAGAAACTGCCCTTCTTTATTGCTACGCCACCTGATGAAATGATTTCATTTAGTTTCTGCTAATGTGTTGCTGGGTTTTTTATCCACTCTGTGGGGGGAGGGTCTGACATTTTTCTTTGGAAGACTATTTCTATAGATGGGCTTCATTTTAAAATGTTTGTGATGTGGTTTGCAGTTCTGTGTTCTCAGAAACTCAGGACCAAGGTGAGTACTGAGGTCTCCCACCTCCAGGAGCCACGGGAACAATTCAGGAAGGAACCCACATTACCTGTGGTGAAGGACGTGAAGAGTCGGATGTTGCCCTGGGCGAGGGTTCGGTAGTAGGACCAACTGAGGTACAGTATCAGGGGCATCCAGATGATGGGGACGCTGTACCTGCAGGAGGGCCATCAGGGTGAGAAAGATACACGCACAGGGGCTCAGCAGGGTTCAGCTTCCCTAGAGAAAACACCTCTCAACTAAAGTGGGGATGACATGATACCAAAGCATGTGCAGAAAGCATATGGAGACCTGGGGATAAAGGGACACTGCTGCGGGGGGTGGGGAGGGGAGGAGGAGAAAAGAAGAGAGAGGCTGTGAGTCCATCTGCCCCAGTCTCTGAGATGAGTTATCGGCAGAAAAGAAAGGTGTTCCTGTGGCTACTGACTCTGTGCAGCTTGACGGATACTGAGCTCTTGTGGCAGAGGCACTATTTGCAGGCAGAATTGTTCCCATGGGTGTTGGAGGCTGGGAATCCCTCATAGGTGTGTGAAATAGAACAGAGTGACACTCAAAGTGGTTTCTGGCTACATGTTGGGTAGTCACTCACTCAGTGGACAAAACCATGCACACGAACGGACTATGCCTATGGCATGTTCCACTATCCCCAAGAGCTTACAGTACACCTCTCGGCTCAAGAGAGGGACTGAATTATCCCTTCCCCTTCGTATCTGGATGGCACCATCAGGAGAGAGGGACAGCCCACCATGGGCTCAGAGCAGGGCTCACCAGACAGTCTTGGTGAGGGACTCGATGAAGTCTGACTGGAAGAGGCGGATGGGCCTGGTCACCGGCTGGTGGACCCACTCATCGTACTTCTCTCCCAAGTGGCCTACCTGCCACAGTAGGGGCTTCCGCCAGTCCACCAGGTCCTGCAAGAGACAAAGTCAAGTGGACAGTTGATATTCACACCTGTGCACATTCATTCTTCCATCTCCTGGTTACAGTATCCCAGTCTTCCCCCGACCCCCCTCAGCTCATGTGGTCTGTATGGAGCTACCCATCCTCCTGCTTCAATGATCCAGAACTGACCAAACCACTCATCCCAGCCTCCTGGCCACAGAAATGGGATCCAGGACAGGCCCACGCACCTAAGCTGATGCAATGAGCTGTCAGACACCCTTTCTTCCTGCTGGAGTTGCTAAGTTGGCAGGACATGACCCTGGAGTTGCCAGCAGAGCCTGCCTGAGGACTCAGTCAACATAGAGGACGGCCAGACTAGGAACTAGAGACACCAAATCCTGGTGATAACATCTGAGCACCCAGATTCAGCCAGGCCTGAAGCTTGAAGTCTTCACTGGGACTCTTTACGTATGGGAGCCAATACATTCTGTACTAGGAATGAAGCAGGCCCTTTCCCCTCCACCACGGGCTTTCTTTTTAGTGTTGACCTGGGAAATTCATTCATTCATCCAAACATTCATTCATTCAACACTTTGCTTGATATAATATACATATACACATTTATATTTATATGCTAGGTGCTGGGAAGAATAAACAGGAATGTAAGAGACCATCTTTGCTTCACACAGCTTAGTGTTTAACCAGAGTTCAGACTCTGGAGTCAGGCTGGGTACAAATCTTGGCTCCGTCACTTACTGTGTAACCTTGGGCAAATTACTTGAATTCTCCAAGCCTCAGTTTCACCAGCTATGAAACAGAAGTAATAATAAGGGTACCTGCACAAAGTCCTCAGCAAGATGAGACGTGCCAGGCAAGACAGTTTAATGGTGATGTAGGCAGGTTGAGATCAGGAGGTAGAATGATGGATACAAATGCCTGGGTCCAGGGTAGGAGAGGAAGGCTTTGCAGAGAAGCTAGGGTTTGGGCTGGAGCTCACACAACATGGAGGACTTGGCAAGAGGGAGAGGGGAAAGGAGGTGGGGAGGGAGTGTGGGCGTAGATGTGGAATTGAGAATGATTGTGGCCTATTTGGTACCCTGACATTGATCTGCAGGGCAGCAGGGAGAAATCTGCTGAGGGCTTTAGATGACAGAACACCCAGTACCAGCCCCCGGAGCTGGCACTTCACTCTTCAGGCCAGTTGTCTCCAAGGTAGGGATGTATGTATACTCCAGGGGTGTTCACAGGCTGATTCCCAGAGGTGGGGAGAAAATATTAGAGACTGTATTTTTGACATATTCATTGCATCTATAAACCGTATTTGAATGTTTTCTAATGCACATAATACAAGAGCATATTAGCACATGCAAATAATTTATAAATAATTAAAATGGACATATAATGGAGAATGTGTTCAAAACATTTTGCTTATAGGGATACAAGGTCAAGAAAGCTTGGAGGCTGCAGGTCTAGGCAATGGGAAGCCCTTGAAGATTTCTGATGAGTCAGTGTAGTGAAGAAGATTAATCTAGACCAAAATCAGCAAACCAAAACCAGTAAGGAACAATGACCTTGGAGTCAGGGGACCACTTTCAAAGCCTGGCCCTGCCATTTATCAGCTGTGGGATCCTGGGCAATTCTTTATCTCTCAGATCCCATCGGCTCTCTCATCCATAAAGCCGGGTGTGCCTGGACCCACCACCCATGATAGGAGAGAGGGAGTGATGTGCTCAGTGTCTGGTGCATGGTGGGTGTCAATAAATCTCCAATACCAGGAGTTAGTCAGCCACTGCAGGTGAGAAGGGAGGTGGTGTCAGGAAAACACAGGAGAGGAGAAAGAGATGTATGTGGAAAGAGTCCACAGTAATTCAGAAACCTGCCTTCCCGCATCCCTGGCTTGAATCTCATCCTTGCACAGGCCTCCACACCAAAGCTGGGTTGGCCCCAGCAGGTCTTTCAGCCCTGCTAGAAGTGAAGCTAGCCCCACCATCAAGCTTTGGAGCAGGGCCTGCCCTGGGGGTCTCGGGGCAAGCAGGGAAGCATTCTCTCTGTGTCTGCAACCAGGGGAAAGGCCCAAAGATGGCTGTGGTTCCCGCCATGTGAACTTGGCAGATCCCAGGTGCTGGCTGCCTTCCTGTTTCTCAGGCTGGAAGATGACCCAGGTCAGCCTGGAGCCATCCCATCCAATACTGGTTAAACCAGACAATCATCCAAACCACACCTGGTCACTGCTCTCTTCCTGGCCCCAGTCTCCACGCCTCCTTGACTTCATCCCTTGGATCTAGTAGCAAACGGATTCATTGGGTGCGTGCTGACTCATTCCTTACATTCCTCTGCCTTAGGTCTCTATACACACACACACACACACACACACACACACACCCCATACCACCACCACCAGGAAAAAAACTAGAGGAACCAGCTAGTGGCCTGTGTTTACATCTTATCTTGCAGTAGCCGGCAGAGCCCCATCTTAGAAGAAGCTAGGCCAGGGTCACAGTGAGAGCTTAAGGCTTTGTCCCAATTACAACAACCTTGGGAGCTAACGCTCATAGAGAATTAGTTGTGTGCCAAGCATAGTTCTAAAAACTTTACGTGAATTCAATCATTTGATCCTCACCATACCCCTAACTAGGCAGGTCCTACTATTATTGCCATCTTGCAGATGGGGAAATTAAAGCTGAGTAAATTGCCCGAGGTTGCCCAGTTACATCTTTTTGATGAATTGGCCCCTTTATCATTGGGAAATAGCCATCTTGGTCCCTGGTATTACTCCTTGCCCTGACACCCATGTTGACTGACTTTAATAGTGTCACACTGGGCTTCTTTATGCTTGGTGTTTGCATGGTCTATCTTTTGCCATCCTCCTACTTTCCACCTGTGTATGTCTTTACATTTAAAGTGCATCTTTTGCAGGCATTTATAGTTGGGTCTTGCTTTTCTATCTAGTCAGACAATCTCTGCCTTTTAATCGGAGTGTTTAGTCCATTTACATTTAATGTTGGGGTAGTTCTACCATCTTGCTATATATTCATCCTTAACTTATCACCATATATCTCAAATGAAACTTCCTCTGGTTTTTACATGTTCCACTTTTGCATGTTATACATGACACTCTATGACCCTTTTTCATTTGTACACTTAATTTGGAATTAGCTACCTTATACAATGAACATTTCCAACTATAGTGTGGGGGTGTGGCTATGTGGGGCTCTCTCTCAGCCAAGCAATGGTTTGGGCAAATTTTTACCTGTTCATCCATTTGCCCTTATTTTTTAAAGTGAGTAGAAAATAGCATAGGATCCATAATTAATTCAGTGAAGACCCAGGAATAAATGTCTAGGTGAGCAGCAAGTAGGGATTCCAGCCTGTATCTTACACCCTATTGTGAAGAGAAGAGAACAAAAGGACAGAAGAGGTGTGGAAAGCTGGAACTAGACTGCTGAAGAGGTGTTTGTTTACAGATATGGTGGGAACAGAGCCAGCCCCCCTCCAACACAGAGGTCTCTCATTCAACGTCTTGTTGCCCATTTGATCTTTGGACATGAATTTGGTTCCTCCCTGGGTAAACTAGTGGGCGCTGGCCACTGTTCAAATGGTGGACTTGCTGTCTAGAGTCAGTCCCAAGGGTCCTCTGATCTGCTCTCCGGCCTTGGAGGGCCTCGAACCCAGGCTCTGTGTTGAGCCCACAGAGCATTTCTGTGAGGTAGCCCTCCTTGGTGCCCAGGGAGGGCCACTTCTCCCTGGGGGCTGAAGGACCACTCTGGAGGAATCTCAAGAAGCCTCACTCTACCCTCTGCAAACATTCCCCTCAGTACTCAAAGGCCGAGACCTACACTTCTACCAGTGGACCCTCAGTCCTGCTACTCCAGGGGAAGTATAGTGAGCCTTCCACATAAGTACAGAAATCCAGGCCTGCTAACTTCCTCCCCATTTTATAGACGAGGACACTGAGGTCCAGAGGTGTTAAGTAACTCTTGAGATGGGGTTGGTTGGTCCTGAAGTGGGAGTCTCCCTCCTGCCCTCCCCCCAGCCGTAGCACCCTCCACACAATCTCCCAGGAGCTGGGACATTCACCGTATGCTCCATCTTCAGTTAGATGGTACATACACCTACAGGGTGTCTTTTCTCAGTTCTCTTCCAGTCCTGATCACTGAGGAGAAAGTCTCAGCTAGGTGCTAATACATTCAACACTTCTCTCTTGCTGGTCATTTGCAACATGGCAGCCAGCTGGGAACTGGTTTGAGAAGGGAGGATGGCAAGAGATGATGGCTCGGGATCCAACGAGGTGAGAAGGGACTCAGGATAAATTTCACTTCCTACTTTCCCTGGCCGAGGACCCCTTGGCTCCTTAACCCTCCCCACAAATGGCTCTCTTCCTCCCAAGCTGGTGCCTGGTCCTGGCCCCTTCCCATCCCTACTTCCTAAGGCTCGGGGGACACAGGGAAGGCATTGGCAAGGGCCTGCTGGCCTCTGTAAGAGGTTGGGTGGAGGGAAGGAGGGCGTAACAGGCCACTGATCATGCCTTCGGTTCCCAGGCATCTGGGGGCTTCCATAGCTACCCTCACAATAGCAAATCCTCCTTTTACAGCTGTGGAACCTGATGCTCAGAGAGGGCAAGTGATTCACTCAGGGCTGCCCAGCTAAAGCTGTACTGCGTGCATAAGGATGAGGATACAGCCAGAAACTGCTCTGGAGTAGGCTTGTTGGAGATGGGGGGTCCTTGGGTGAACTCAAAGACCCTGTGCAACAGGCTGGGTCCCAGAAAGCACTTGCAAGTTAGGGAAAGTTTGGCCAAAGCACCTTGTGTGTCCCATTCCCCTCCCTCACCCAGCTCTGCTCCTGCCCCAACGGGAGGGAGGAGGAGGGCTTCTCCCGGGCTATGCCAGGAATGCAGCTGCAGCAGGGCCAGCAGGGAGAAAGGGCAGCCTGTTGTTCAGAGGGTGGGTGGAAGGGTGTGCTGCCAGGGTGGGGAGGGGGCCTCCTCTGCTTCCCCACCCACTCTTCAGGTCCCCCTCCTCCTGGGCAG